CTGATCGCTTCTTCTTCTAGAACTGCCTTTCTTGCGGCAGCAGCAGCTTTTGCGCTAAACGCTGAACCCTTACTGGAGACTCGAGAACTCATTGAACCGATATCAGAGCGTACAACTTTTGACTTGCGTGAAGACTTTGAACCGCAGTCTGTGCGACTGCAAATATTACTCACGGAATCGCTAGGTCTAATTTCATTAAATTGTTCCGTTACGTTTTTATGACAGAATTCGTTATTTTCAAGCCAAGTTTTTATCCTATCTTTAAATGCAGATGTTCTGCGTACTTCAACACTATAATAAGCTTCCGATTCCTGTACGTCATCTTCATCAGTTAAATTTGCGTGATAATTTCCATGTGCCAAAGTAAATTTTCTTAAAGATTCTTCAAAATCGTAATATACGCTCTGAACACGTTCCAAGTTATTAACATCCTTAACTAACTCGGCGATCTCATTTATTTTACGCGTGACGTTAGCTTTTGCGGTTTTTCTGGCCATTTTACTTCGGTAAATTTGTGTCGCATGATCCTGAACCGCGCTGTCCGCGCAACGATTTGAATCGAGTTCGTGATCGCTTATTTCTGTACTGATCTGGTCAACAGTTTGATTGGTTGCGTTTGGATCCATACTACGGTTGTGTGACTGATAATTTGATTTGAATGATGAACCGATAGTTTTTGTTCAACTTGGGCAACACAGTCAACTCAAAATGCCAAACAAAACGTGGGCATCTTCGAACTTATGTAAGCCTACGTAGCTTTCCGATCCAACAATTACTTTTCCATTGTTACATAATCCTTCCTATTGTTACGTCACTGTCGGCACCCTTTGGCCCCTAGATGGGGGGGGGGGTTATCTACTACTTATATTTTGTACAAAACTGCAAAATAGTTGAAAGATTCGTACTTTTAACTATACAACAATAAATTTCCGAAATATTTACTGTAGGTATATTATTTTGCATTTTGTGAGCTTTGATTTAATGTAAAATTTAACTTGAAACGCTTCGTAAAATATTTTGAAATGTTCATTCAAGTAAACTACATTATGCCGATAAACTTTTTTACTTAACAAAACATGATAAGTTTAGTACTAATAAAACAAATTGTTAGGTAATTTCAGTTCAGTCTTCAAATCATTTTGTTCGCCTTTACATTTTAAGATTTTTTCTCAAATTAAACGGTAATTTATGAAACTTAGAGCATCTATAGTTTATGTTTTTTACTAGGCAAAAAGTTAAAGCAACAAAATTCGTAAACATTTTAAAAATATTCAAGGCAAACTTGCCGTATATTTCACGATTTCCCGTAGTACACCAACTCATCTCATTAATTTCTTCAAACAAAATTGCTTCAAGCTTGTTGTATATGAAACAATTTTCCAAATATATGTCTTTTAGAATTGAAATCTTGCTTGCCATATTTTTGAGATCTGTGAGAGTGACCACCCACTCAAAATCGGTGAGCGCCCGCGATGATTGATGAACTTTAGACTTCGCTAATGCTTTCGTTTTCCCGGGTGTAAATAGCCGGGGGAAATTAATACCCTCGCACGGCGCTTCGCGCCGTCGGATCGGAGACAAACAAGTTACATACTTGGTAAAACATTTCTGCTTTTTATTTTGGCTCAAAGTGCACTACGCGTGGTAATACTCCGAATTGTTTATAGTCATGAAATTATGTTTACCCAGCCAATGACGTCAGATAATATATTTTGTGGCATAAATTAGCATACGCGCTTATTTTCAAAATGGCGGACAACTGTTAAACTTTTTATCAAATTTTCTCAACAACTAAACGCACACTGTAAATTTTAAGGAGTTGAATCAACTCCAAAAGTGTTATTCTGTCACCAAAAACAGTGACAGAATTACTCTTCTGGAGTTGATTCAACTCTTTGAAATTTACAGTGCAACAAACCGGCCCAAATATGAAATTAAATATTCCGTAAGTATACCCAATAGATATATTAAGTAATAAAAATTTTGGTTGCCAGTGTCCTTTAATTATTATTTCCTAATATTTGGATTTTATTCAGTTTGGAAGACATTAAAGATTTCTTGGAAAATTTCAGTTTAGTCTTTGAATAGTCCTTGAAGTAGCTTTTAATCTCTTTCTTGGGAACCTGCACCAACCCTGTCGCATCAGAAGAAATGGAAAATTCATCGGGAAGAAAAGTATTGTATCTTGATAAAATCGTATATTATAAAAAAAATTTTCCATGATTTGGCGTGCTCAATATATCGATCGAGCTATTCAGTATTTCGGATTTTGGGAGAGTACAAAAAGCGCAAGAGTTGGTTGAGCCTCAATAACTGGATTGAGCACGTCATGAAAAATTCTTAAACATTTCCTATTCAGTTTTAATTTTCAGATTTGTAATTGAAATTTATTCTTCAATTTTTGCAGGAAGAAATGCCATCACCAGATAAAATTGCAACCTCGTTCCCAGGCTCTTCCCTCTTTTTTCACGCAGATTTTGCGTGGTAAATTAAATTGATCTCAGGGAGGGTAGTATAGGAGTCTGTTTGTTGCGTTTGGAAAATTGCAATTTTATGTGTTATAGTTTCGGGTGATAAAAATGTAATTTGCAACAAGAAATCGTGAAAGAAAATGTTCTAAATTCGTATTCGTCATGACACGACTTCCTGTTATACTGAATGTCATCAATAATAAGTGTTGCGGTACATTTCAAGCGAGAAGCTGGATCATATTTCACTTCCAACAAAAGGACTCCACACGCGGCTGGCTTGCGAAGATAAGCACGCATCGCCGTAGAAACATATATGTCTCTTACACCAACTGATCGATCAAACAATACCAAATGAACGATATGGTTGTTTATGGTTGAAGTGTATCCTGTCCGATATTCAAAATAAAGGATTTATTTTATAAACGGGATCCTTTGTCTTTGATTTTCCAAACATCGCCAACTGTGTGTAAACAATACGGTGCTATCTTGACAGTGAAAGCACAGGATTAAAACCCGTTATGAACTGTAAAATTCCTTTCATTTACATTGCTAAAACTCAACGATCAAGAATGATTATGTAGAAGACTCGAAGTATGTAGCTATCTGTTATTACGCGAACGCCAAGACTCTTCCGTGCGTGCGGTACAACTTGAATATTTAGGACGATATATGCAGCAGACACTGGTATTGTACTTTATAGTAAATAATTTCATAGTTCATGTATTACATTTACCGAGATAGGTGAAAACCTGCCTAAAAGTATTCCTATAACTGATGTCAACCCAATATCTTATATTAACTCTACAAATAGTGTGTTTTCCTTCAAGACAATTGAGGTAAACTATGTTAAATATTTGCTTGGAAGAATAAACACAAAAAAATCTAGTGGTCCCGACAACATTCCATGCAAATCACTAAAGTTAGCTAGGGATGTTGTATCCCCTTCCCTGACGTATATGTTTAACAAATCTTTTTGCACTATATGCCCAAAAGAATGGAAAATTGCTAATGTTACACATATACATAAAGATGGTGCTAAACACGACCTCAACAATTATCGTCCAATCTCAATTATTTCAGTCGTTGCAAAATTATTTGAAAGTATTATTCACGACCAATTTGATTAATATTTAACGTGCAATAAATTACTGACTAAATGTCGGTCTGGGTTTCGAACAATGCACAGTACGGTCACTGCACTGCTCGAAACAACAAATAGGTGGTCGATAAATATCGACAATGGACTACTCAACGGTGTAGTTTTCATCGACTTAAAAAAAGCTTTCGATACTATCGATCACGCAATTCTTCTGGATAAACTTGCTCAATACGGAGTTGATGAAAACGCATTAACATGGTTCCACTCTTTTCTAACCGATCGTACACAAAGATGTTGTGTAAATGGACATCTTCTAGTAATCGACCAATCACTTACGGTGTCCCCCAAGGTTCAAAAATAGGTCCACTTTTATTCTTGGTTACATGACTTGCCAAACTGTCTGAACAATGGCTTATCGAGTATGTACGCGGATGACACAAATATTAGCTTCCAAAGCTCTAATCTTACATCTTGAAGACATTATGAACACCGAGGTGTACTGTTTAAACACCTGGCTCAGTGCGAACAGATTAAGCTTAAAAATTACTAAAACTAAATTTATGGTCATTGGATCTCGGCAGAGGCTGATGTACCCTGATGTTAACTATCTTAATATATGCGTAGATAACACTCAAATTAAAAGGGTACAGTACACGAAATCCTTAGGGGTAACAATTGATGAAAATTTAACTTGGAAGAACCATATTGATACTATCCGTAAAAAGTATCATCAGGAATTGGCGCCCTTAAACGAGTGAGGCAATTTTTAAACAGGGAAACTGCGGTGAAAGCGTACAGAGGCTTAATTGAGCTTTACCTTAATTACCGTTGCCCGGTTTGGGACGCTATCGGCAGCGAGCCGAGCAGTAAGTTACAAAAGTTACAAAACCGTGCTGCTCGAATGATCACCGAAAGCATATATGAAAACTCCTCGAATTCTTTACTGGAGGAGTTAAACTGGCACCAGTTATCTATTAATCGCAAAAAGCTTAAAGCAATTCTTATGTATAAAACTATAAACAAGAGGGTACCAGAATATCTACAAGACATACTTACCTCGCGATCTTGTCCTTACAGATTGAGAAACAATGAAAATACAATATTTTCCCCTAAGCCACATACAGATTATCTAAAGCGCTCACTCAGCTACGATGGAGCTGTTTTATGGAATAGTTTGCCAACTGAACTTCGTTCGGCACAATCTCTTAGTGCTTTTAAACGAGGTCTAGAATGTTGGTTAGCTTAGACTCACACACGGCAATCGTGTAAATCAGTACTGTTCTGCTTTTTTGTAAATAACATTTGTATTTTTTTTCCTTTTCCTCCTTTTTCTATACTTTATATACATCCATATTATGTAAATTTGTACTGATGATTCTACCGTGTCAAAATAAACTTTATAATGATAATAATAATTCTTTCGACTTGTATAATATAATGTCGCTGTGAGTCATCAATATTTAAATCAACTTCAATCTTTATCGTATACTGTAATGACATTTTAGAAGTTTCACTAAAAGATACTGGAGGCAAACAGTCTATCTATCAATGGAAACTTTAAAAGGCTTATTTAAAACTCATGAAGTAATTCTATGAGCGAAACGTCGTGCGCATATACAGTTTATGATTGACTTATGTATATATACTGTATATATCCCTGATAAAACGTAGGGATACTTTATACTAGATATAATAAAAAATACTTTGCTAAACTTTTTCGGCTATCATTCCTTTGCATTCAAGGGGCGAGGGTGAATGGCGATATAATTATATAGGAGACGCTGTGCAATATTTTGGCTTCAACAAACGGGTACTTGTGGAGACAAAAAAGGAAATGCATACAGTTGTGAATTGTCGTAGAATTCTGTACTGTCGATCCCAAACAATTTTGTACGTTAACACTCCTTCCTACTTGATGTTTAATATAAACGATGATAACTTTTTTAAAAAAACTCTATAACAGTTTTAGAATCAATAGAATTTTAGAATCATTCAATGTCTATATGGCTAGTGTTCAAATGTATAACGTTAGCTGTAAGACCAGAGCCTACGACCT